GGATGATCAAGAATCCACTTAAGTGCATGTTTGACTGAAAGATCTACCTTTGTCATGATTTATTAAGAAATTAGAAACGTTTGGGGCTTCACTCTATAATCTGCTTTTCTATTTTCTAATCATTATATACAAACATACTTATCTGCTTTTATTTAGTAATTAAGCCCCCCCGGGGGATATGTTCTTGGAAAAATACATAGAAAAAACATTATATATATGTATAAAAAAACCTTTACATCGGATTGACTTTGATATTAGCGAAGTTACATTGAAATTTTATAAGATTTTGGTTCCGACTCAAAATATCACTAATTTTCCTCTTATTTTTGAAACCCATCATTGTTAGTATATAAAAATTTTCAGAAAACGAAACAAAAATATTATACATGAAAACAAGTTCACACCATCATCAAGTGACAAAATATCAAGTCAAGTGTTTTACTTAAAAAGAAATAAATACTAGAAACTGTGGACATTGATTTTATGTGGACGATGTGGTCCAAATTAAAAAGTCAGTTAACATCTTTATTGGGACAAAATAAAGAAGATTGAAGAGATCTCTATCTCGTAATTAAAAATATTACTATATAACAATGAAATAAATAAATAAATTTTATACTGATGAAAGAATGTGTATGTGGTCAAGCCCGTTATCCTCTACCAGTTTATAATGAGAATGAGAGGCAAAAAAATATTATAGGAAATAACAAAAACACTGTCAACAGACACTAATGGGATAATTAATATGTTTTATTTGTTTATAAGGTGAAGAATTTTTTAAAAAATTGGAATTGTTTTGTTCCTTTTATTTTGTTTTTTTTTTTAATTTTTAATGATAATATATTATGAATAAATAAATTTTTAAATATCATTTTAATTAATAAATTTATAATTTAAATATTATATTAAAAAATTTTAAAATTTATTATTGCATTTAATATTTTATTATAATTTCAAAACTATTCCCAACATTAATCTTTTAAAAATATATATTTGTTGTATTATTTTCACGAACACTTAATTTCCATCATTTGTTTTAGAACCTTTTTATATATTAACAATTAAATTTTTAATTTAATTTAATTTAAAAAACCAATGACTGACAAAAAAATGAAATTGATAAAGTAAAATTATTTTAAAATAAATTTTTATAGATAGTTGTTCAGTAGAATTAAGAACAGTCCCGAAATCTCAATCGAAAAAAGAGACAAGATCCCAATGATTGAACCCAAATAGAGTGGTAAACAGTTAATGATCAAATCTTAGAAATCAAAGACCATTGCATTATTATATCAGATAGGATTTAGGGTTTTCATCAGCTTATGGAAACCACTAAAACTACTAATTTTTTTAATTTTTTTTAACAAGAGACAGAAAGGCCATTTTTACAGGAACTTATAATTCATTGTGCTCAAATAGTTGGAAATTTTGGAAGGAGATGGAAACACTGAAAATGTGAACCAATTTTGATGGTAAAGAGAGTGTGAAAAAAAAACAATTCAGAGATAAGAGTGGATCATTTTGGAACCGACTGTTTGTGAAATTTCTCATCAATCATTCAATTAATGACTGTTGATTAAGACGTAAATGTATAACAAATTAGACAAATAAAGATAAAAATGAATAAAATAGTACTAATGTATTCAATTTACATTTGCATGTCAATTACAATATGGATGGCAAATTAAAAAAAAATGATGAATAGTTTATGATTAAAGTTTATATCTAAAGCCTCTCATCTCATTCCCAATTTTTGTTAATAATTTTTTTTTTTTGAAAATCTTAACTCAATATCTCATCGTATTACTTTTTTTTTTCTAGTCTTGTTTAAATAAATTGATCCTTTTTATTGATCAATAAAACTTTGATTTAATAAAAAAAAGGATTTTGGTGTTCAAATTTATATAGCTTTTATTTTTAAAAGATGTCATTAATAAGTTTATTTTCAATTGTAAATTTTTATATAAAATATCTTAAAACTTCAAATTTTTTAATTTAAATCTTATCGTATATGAGTCCGATTCAATTTTATGTTAAATTTATTTAATTATAAGTAATTTGTTATATTTTAAAAAATAAAATTCAAAATTTTCTAATATCTCCAATAATCATACCTTAATTATAAATATTAAACACTATAACCAACTAATACAATATTATAATTGTAGAATGTGTTTGTTAGGGTGATTATGATTGTTTTGTAATGTTTTAAAACTAAAAGCAAGGCCAAAAAAAGAAAAGGGGGAAGGGGGGGATTATACAGTAAATGTAGACGTTGGACAGTTGAGTGAGGGTGGCGGTAGGCACCATTTCTTCCCAACCAAGCCAACGTGTGTAGTTACTTTCAACCAAAACGTTGCCTGCCCCCTCTCAAAATATCCTGCGCCGTTGCTTTTTTTTCCTTGTTTTGATCGTTGCATTTCGTCTGGTCTAGGATTGAGCCCCAACTTTTATCACTTTTTTATTCATGTCCATTTGGCCATTGGTCCACCCATCTGCACCTTTGTGGGTCCCCCAACCGCCCAAAAAGAACGGATCTAATTGGCAAATTTTGTGTTGATGGGACATTGATTCATTGGAATTGAATTAATTTATTTTATTTTTATTAATTTAATCATATTTGTTAATTTAAAATTTTAATTAATTAAATTTAATTCATTAATTTTTTTAATCAATCGAATAATAAAATTTTTTATATAAATAAATCTAATAAAATCATTTAACAAAATATTAAATTAAAAATTTTAATAATGTATAAATGAAAATAATTTATTTCATATATTTTTAATTTTATAAAAAAATTTATTATATTTTAATTATCGAATTAAATTAATTAAAAATTAAAAATTTTGAAAAATTAGTTTTAATTATTTATTAAGATTAATTTAATATCATTCAATTAATCAAATTAATTCAATCAACTAATTTAATTTTAACCAAATTACGACCCCAAGTTAATCTTACTCATTCCCGTTGCTATTGACACTTTTTTCACCTTTTTTTTTATCTTTTTATCCTCTTGAAAGGAAAAAGGTTATTTTTTTTTTTAAAAGGGCGGAAACTGAAACTATGCCAAAACAAATACTTGACAAATTGCGATGTAGCTGTATGCCTGTCTTCATTTGAGAGTACCGACGGCGTCGTTTTTATCTCACAGGGACAGGGGCAGACAGGACCGGCAGCCCAGATCTTAAAAGGAAAGATGGACGGTTAAGATTGTAGGGCCGTTCCGAGACGACCACGGAGGGGAGGTATGATGACGTCACTGAGACGGTGACACCGACGCACCGTTTAAAATTATGACGGGTTCAAACCCCAACTTTCAAAAGCGTCCCGGAACGGGAGAGATTGAAATCGAAATGAAATGATAGGCGAAGTGGGTACACGTGGATGGTAATTGACCCCTCCTGTTTTGTCATTTCGATAGATATAAAAAATAGAGTAGGTCCCACAAATCTCTGAGTGCCACGTCAGGTCTGCAACTGGTACTCGAAGAGAAAGAAAAACAAGAGAGAGAATAGTGATGACAACGGCACAGGTAAGGTCGAGGTGAATTTTTGTTCGTATCGAATTCGATCTGATTTTAAATATATAAAATTCGTATTTATATTTGATTCGATAAATTTTTTTATTTTTAATACTTGAATTTGATCCAATTTGATATTTTATAAAATCAAATTTGATTCGATCTGATTCAAAATTAATAAAATATTATTTTAAATATAAATATAAAATTAAATATAAATTTAAATAATTAATTATAAAAATATTTTTTATATATATCTGGTCAGGTAGGATCGGATTTGCCTAAAATTTGATCTCGACCCAGATCCAAATCCGAAATATTTTTATGCTACTCAACTCTACCCGACACGATACCTAATTTTCAAAAAAAAAAAAACTGACCCTAAAGGGTTAGGTCTATTCGAAACCTGTCAATTTCGGGTATTTTTACCTTCCCTAAGAGAGAAAGAGAGAGGAGAGAGAGGGGTCAGAGAATGCTGTCTATTGTTAATTGTACTAATAGTCACAGATCACTCACAGATTGAGACTTAAGTTTTAAATTTATCTGATTTTAAGATTTAGATATTCATTTATTCAAAGTTTCATATCAGTTTGACCTTCACGGTTCACATTCTTATGAGATATTATCAATTTTGATCTTTTTAACTTTACTATTTTATCTTATAAAAAGTATTTTAAGAAAGAAAGAGGTGATGTGAACCCTTATATATTCCAATGATCTTTATTTTATATCCGATATGAGATTCAAAATTTTTTTTTAAGTCCGTAATATTCTCCTTCACTCAACCCATGACGCTCTCGTGATGGAGGGTAGCCACAATGTCACTTCTCTCGAGACACTTGGCTTAAATCGAACATCACGAAAGTAAATCGAACGTCACAGAAGTTGATCACTCTGCCTATCTTTGTCGAGACGTTTAACGTAGATCGAACGATTTAAAACTGACTCTGATATCACTTATCATGGATCGAGAGTTAAACTCTGAATCCGTACAACTTTAAGACCCGAGCATCTATTTATTAAATATTTCAAATCAATCTAATTGTCACAATTTATATTTTTATGATATATTATATTTTAATTTATTTGATCTCAAAATTTTATTTTATAAAAAATATTTCATAAAAAAAATTTAAATCCTTGTATATCTCAATGATTTTTTTTTTTGTTCGATATAAAATTTAATACCCCTTTTAAATTCATGATACAGTAACCTATCGCTCTCAGAGTAGGGTACATGGGATTTTCATCCTTTCAAGACCTTCGATATTTCCACGTCATTTTTCTTTTTTAATTTTCATTCAATTTTCTGAAAAAGGGACCCACGTTTTCAAGACCATCATATTTCCACGTCATTTTTCTTTTTTAATTTTCATTCAATTTTCTGAAAAAGGGACCCACGTTTTCTTATTTTTTAATAGCTACAAGGACCCACTTTTTCATTCGGAGGGACTTTATTTGGCTTTCGTCCTGCTTCTGCTGTTTTAGCATTCGTTCTTTAAAACCGCACTTCTCTAAACGTCTCTTTTTCTCTCTCTCTCCTCAGCTTAAGCAAAATCCAAGTCTGTGTAGAGCTTCTGATTCAGTAGCCTTTGGGCCTACAGTCTTGTATGTACTCTATTTCCTCTATCTCCTTCTCTTTTATACTTAAAAAGTGAAAAGCTTCCTCTTTCGCTAATCTTTTCTTCTTTTTTCTGGGTAATGTGACTGCAGTTTATAAGATTTTCCGGCGAATTTTGGCCGGGGAATGGCATATATGTGTGCGGATAGTGGAAATCTAATGGCAATCGCTCAACAAGTTATAAAGCAAAAGCAACAGCAAGAGCAACAACAACAGCAACACCATCAGCAGCAGCAACAGCTCCTTGGTCTCAGTCCTTTTACTTTAAACGCTTGGCCCAACAACACCCATCATGGCGTTTCCAATTCACCCAATCTCGGGTATGGGCTTTCTGGTTCGGGTTTTACCGACCCGTTTCAGGGAGATACTGGAGAAGGGTTTCAGTTCCCCAATATGGAACATCATCCTTCGAGTGGGTTTCGGTTCCCGGATTTTGGTGGTGGTGCAGGTGGGGAATTTGACTCCGACGAGTGGATGGATAGCTTAATGAACAGCGGAGATTCAACGGATAGTTCGAATCTGCCGTCTGGTTGTGACGCGTGGCAGAACAATGCTGATTTCGGTCTTTACGGTGGCGATCCGTTTAGTGCTTGCCCGAATCGTCTTAGCGTGGCGTGTTCTACGCCGTCTGATCTGAACCGAGTGATTTTCTCAGCAGAGGCACAGAAAAACCCTAGCACTACTGTTCAAGCTCAGCCTCAGCTACCTACGTGGGCCCTATCCCCTCCACCTCCTCCGCCTCAAGTAACCGTTAAAGAAACCAAAACAAGCAGGCCTCCGAGCCAGACTCCACTCAAAAACGATGCCGGAAGGGTCTCATCTGGTTCCCCCGAGACCGAGTCAGCTTCCCTGCTTTTAAAAGCTTTACTCGATTGTGCTAGACTCTCTGAGTCGGAACCTGAACGCGCAATTAAATCACTGGTTAGACTGAGGGAATCGGTATCAGAATGTGGAGATCCAACTGAAAGAGTGGCTTTTTACTTCACCGAAGCTCTCTATAACAGAGTGTCTCTTCAAGCAGAGAAAAGATTGACTATGCTCGAAACAACGTCGGAGGACTTTACTATCTCTTATAAAGCATTGAACGACGCGTGCCCTTACTCGAAGTTCGCTCATTTAACGGCAAATCAAGCAATTCTTGAAGCAACGGATCGAGCAAGCAAGATTCACATAGTGGACTTCGGAATTGTTCAAGGAGTTCAATGGGCTGCTCTTTTACAAGCTTTAGCGACCCGTACTGCTGGAAAACCGACTCGAATCCGTATCTCGGGTATACCTGCCCCAGTATTGGGATCATCTCCAGCTCCTTCCCTTTACGCAACTGGTAATCGTCTACGTGACTTTGCGAAGCTTCTGGATTTGAATTTTGAGTTCGAACCGGTTCTAACTCCGATTAAAGAACTTAACGGGTCGAGTTTCCGGGTTGATGAGGATGAGGTATTGGCAGTAAATTTCATGCTTCAATTGTATAATTTGTTAGATGCTAGTCCGGTCACTGTGGAAACCGCCCTCCGTTTGGCCAAAGCTTTAAACCCAAAAATCGTGACATTGGGTGAGTTTGAAGCGAGTTTGAATAGAGTTGGGTTCGTGAACCGGTTCAAGAACGCATTGACGTATTACTCGGCCGTGTTCGAATCGTTGGAACCGAACTTGCCTCGTGATTCACAGGAGAGAATACTAGTCGAGAGACTATTACTGGGTCGGAAAATCGCGGGGGTTATTGGAGCGGACGAAGCAGAAAACCCAAGGGAAAGGATGGAAGATAAAGAGCAATGGAAGGTTTTAATGGAAAGTGCTGGTTTTGAAACGGTAACCCTTAGCCATTACGCGATAAGTCAAGCAAAAGTTCTGTTGTGGAATTATAATTACAGTTCTTCGTATTCACTGATTGAATCGTCACCTGGATTTCTCTCTTTAGCTTGGAACGAGGTGCCCCTACTCACAGTTTCATCTTGGCGTTGATGAAGATTTCAGGGAATTCCCCTGGTAATTTTCCATAGTGTGAAATGGATCAAATTTTAATCTGGGAAACGCTCTTGGGGGATGGGGGGAGGCTGAGATCAGTGAAACAGTGATGAAAGTGAGAAACTTTTTAGGGTTATTTACATGATTATATTAATATTTTTTTCATTTTGATTTTGGTCTAAGATTTTTCTTTTGTATTTTGGATCTGGGTTCTATTTTTGTTGAGGTTTTTTTGAACAAGTTTGGAACTTTCAGCATGACATGACAAAATTGTAACATAGGGGGAATGAAATTCTTGGAGTACATTTCCCTTAGGTGTTTAGTAGCTTTGTACTGTATATAAATTTGAAACCTTTCGATATGTTCCTATTTTTTTCTTTCCTAATTTCATGTTAATCGGTTAATGTCAACGTAGACTTGAGTTCAGTTCCCTTGCAAATATAAAGTGAAAACAGATTTAATGACTTTTGGAAGTTTTAGTTTCTTGTGCTCTTGGTTTTTGAACTTGCAAGTCTTGTTCTGGTCACTTCCTAATGGTTCGCCCCTGAATCCAAGACTTGTGAATCTGTCAACATTTACTAATATTACCAGATTTTTCACCTGGCCAGTACCTTGCAGGGTGTAGTAAAAACAATGAACAAAACGAGTTAAAAATGTGACTGTCTTGCAGACACTGTAATTGGGTGGTTCCGATTGAGACTCGGTCTTGTTTTGAACTGTGGTTTTTCTGTATTTGGTATTTGATGAAGACCAACACAGTACTATGATTTCACGGAATATGGTTTTCTGAATAAGACTTGAATAGAAACTGTGTTTGCGTAAATGATCTAGCAGGTTATCTTTTACTATCTTAACTTCTCTCGATCAAGCTTTCAATCTTTTAGGCTGCCGATCTCTTACAGTTACCCATCGTTTTCCTTTGTTATCTTATTTGGCTGGAAAAGGACTTTGAATTTGCATGTGGGTGGTTGTTGCCATCCCTGCTAACCTTATTTTTCTGAGTCTATATGGGCCTTTCTAGTTCCTACCTGTTGGTTATATAGATTTAATGGCTGTCATTTTCATCTTGAATCAAACTCTAGATCTCTCTTTCTCTGGCTGTATAGAATTAAACATGAGATCTTATCATGTGATTATGGGTTTCTCTTTGAAGCTTTTAAAATCTTTATTGTCTAATTTCCAACCCAATAGTGGAAGTTAAAGGGAGAGACAGAAGAGAGTAGCTTGAACATGATATTTCATCCTTTGACATAATTGGGATGAAACAAGGGCGATGAAAGCAGCCCGTTTCCAACTCCCTGAGAACCAATGGGCCAGAACAGGACGAAGTAGGTGATGGGGTTCCGTGATGTTGTTTCTAATCCAGTGATTGAGACCAGAGTATGGGGTCACTTGTAGCCATAAGGTAGTTGAAATGTGAACCCCATGTAACTAGAATACCCTTTTAGGTCTCAGGCATGGGTCCTCTTCAACTCTCTTTGCCAATGCACTTCCATCATAGCTCATCTGATATGTTTCCTGCAACAACTTCCTTCATCCTCATTTGCATAGAAAATTCTGCCTATTACCACAGTTTTTCTCAGAATTTGGCCAGCAATTTCAATTTGTTTCCTGGTGGATCAGCCTGATATTATTAACTAGATCTATTTCCTGGAAGAATCATGACCAACAAGTTTTAATTTCATCTCGCTCGTGAACCATGCAGAGGACAGGGATTTTCCCTTCTTTCTTCTTTCCGTGAGGGTGTGAGGGTTTCAAAATTACAGTCGGATGGTTCTGTTGTCATTCGATAGCAATTGGAACTTGACTGAATTTGTTCCCAGCGAAAACTCTAATTACCATTTTAATGGATCTGTTGGAAGTTTTGAAAGAAAATAGTGCTGCAAAATCAAGGGCCAAGGACGCACAGCCCTCTTACATCATGCACGTACCCTGTACCATCTGGGTGACCGTATCACAGCACCCCTTAGCTCTTAAATGTTGTTAGTTCTGTACGTACGTGATGAGATCAGCAGCAGCAACGGTCGAGTGGTCCCACAATCTGGAGACATAAGACTTTGTACTGTTTTCGTTAATGTGACGTGTCCCGTCTACTGCTCGAGACAAAACTAGACTAATCCTGATACTGCTACCTTTTATTGTTTTCCTCGGCAGCGTATTTCTCGCTTCATTTTTGTTTTCTAAAATATAAAAAATGCTTTGGTTTTGCTGGTCTGCCCACCCCATTTTTCCATAAACAAAAATTATAAAATCGAGGGCTTGCTAAAGAACCCAAGTTGCCCAAAGATATAGAAATTTTATCGGTGAACGTGATCCATTCTCTCTTTTGTTTTTTTGGTTGAAGAATGTGAATTCAAAGGATTTATTTCTGGAATTTGATCCAATTTGCTAGACCTTTGAAATATTTAAGCTATCTAATTTTAATTAGAATCTGGGAGTTTAATTTTATTTTATAATATAGTTATCTGTGAAGCAAAATTATTAAATATATTTATCAAGATAATTTTTTTAATTTCACAAATAAAATTAAAAAATAATACAGATTTTTTAAAAATATATTTAAAAAATAAAAATATATAAAACATATATTATTCTATTAATTTTGCTCGTAAAATAAAAAACTCCGTATATTATATCAAATAACTTTTTATCTTTAAATAACAAAGTCTAATAAATAGTTGACGTTATAATTTATTTCTTTATCATAAAACTGTGATCTATTGGTAATATATATATATATATATATATATATATATAAAACTAGCAGAGCAAATATGGATATTGAATCGGGTATGAGTTTTCTTCGGGTTTATATTCTCTTCTTTTATCAGATGGTAATGCTCGTTTATAAAATCCAAAACGAATATAAACATGGACCCTTATGAGCTGGAGTGCCAGGATGAGGTTAAAATCTGGAATGATGGACTGTGTTGCACATGAGCCTTGGCCATGTTGGACATGGTCACCGCAAATTGAATCAGTGTCAAAATCTTGAAGGCCAGGCAATTGCAGCAACCTGATTTTTCTAAGCATGTCATCCGTCCTCGTCAGCGTTGGAATAGCTCTGCTCTCGCCTCCTTATCCACAAAACAAGCTTAGGCTACGGTCGTTCGAAGTGCCATCTGGGTGAGATGCTTATCGGCATGCAAAGCTGAAAGAGCCACGACTCGACAAGTGTTCATTAACATTTCCACGTGACATTACAAGAAAGGAGTGTAAAGGCCCGGATCAACACTTTTGAACCGGCCTTAATTTTTGTCTTTAGCATCTAATGATATGTATTTATAGGCTAAATTACTTCCTCGGTAATGTGTATATATGATCTTCATAACTCCAAAGAAGGCGAAAATGAATCAAGCAATTCGATCAGTTGGAGCTCAGCCATCAGCAATTTTCTCCTCTACTCTGCAATCTTCTTTAGGGCGCAAAAGTTCATCGATCAGCTTCAGGGCTGTCACGAGTTCTTCCAGGCGTCCAGAAAATCCACAGAGCATGGACCAGAAATTAGAAAATAATCCAAAGGAAAAAACTGGGTTAGTAACAGGGAATATTATTGGAAAACACTGCTTTATGTTTTTCTTTCCTTGTCTATTGTCTGAATTCTTTATGTTGATTGTTGAATTTTTGTGTGTTTTAAGGGACGTGATGTCTCATTCATTTGGAGAGGGATATGCCACGAGATCAGATGAAGAAGGATTTGGAGGGACTTATGGAGGAAATCAGAGTGAATCCGAAATACAAATGGACAAGGAGATTCATGAAAATCATCCAGGTGATCAGTTGAAGAAGAATACATTAATAATTGAATATATATATATATATATATATATTAAAGTTTGAGTTTTTAGATTCGTAACTCATGTTCTCTAATGCTCCCTAAGGTACATTAAAAGAAACAAAATTAAGATATGTAAGAAATTTTTTTTAAATTAAAAAATTGTACTGTCAACCCATGAATCTTTGTTATTGAAAATCGAATATTAATTATTTAAATTAAGAATCAAACATTTTATCAAAAAATTGAGTCAAACATTTTATCACTAAATCACATAACTATTTGTTTATAAATTAATATTCATAGATAAGGGAACTATGTATTTCTTCTTGAAGTTTTGCGTGTATTTTAATTGAGTGATTTTGCTTTTGTGCATGAAGCTTATGACAAGAGTCAGGGGAGTGAAGTGAAGGAGAAGGAGAAAGCCAGGCACCAAACTCACGCATCGAGTTAAACCACTGGGAAGATGGAGAATAATTGATGTTTATTTATATCTATTTGAGTGCGACTAATCTGTCTATATGACTATGAATGAGAGTTGCTCATGTTTTTTTTTATGTTTATTATTTTGTATTTATGTTCCTCGGACGTCATCAACCCCTTTAATTTTTGTTTTAATGTACTGATTCAGCAAATGTTATTTTTTATGGTCCTTCAAACTCGATTTGGCGTATAGTTTTAACTGTTTTATTTTATCGGTGATCAAATTTTACCTATCTGGAAACTGATACAACAAATCTGATATGAAGATGAACAAATTCTGCATTTCCATTTATTATGAAAGTAAAAAAGGTTGGAATTCAATTGACAAAAAAAAAAAAAAAAGATGAAAATATCGCTAATGGATTGGGCTTGTATTTATTTGATATTCTTAGAAATCCAAAGGTTTGGGCTGTTGAAGATGTCCATCATGTGGGTTTAGTTTTCATCAATTTTGGGAACCAAACTTTTAAGTAAGCGAGTCAAACTTTTGTGATTAATACATATATATTTCCCGTTTATAATAGAATTCTTTCTTTTTTTCATTATTCCTTCGTCTCAAATGTAATTATAACTCGATAATTCTGTGTCATCATAACTATACCAGATAACTAACCCGGTTCCGTCCGGGTTGTTTTTTTTTTCAATGAAATATAAATTTTTTAATTTAATAATAATTAAAAAATTAAATATTTTTAGTATTTTGTTTTGTTTGTTTATTTTTAAAAAATATAATCTCTTGGAAAATAATAATAAAAAAACTAATGCTTTAATTGTGTCAGTTAAAAGGAATTGAATAGGTGTTGAATTCTATTTTAAATAAAAAAAGTTATTTTTAAAAAATTATATAAGAGAGATTATTTTTTAAAAAATTATATAGATTAAATTCAAACTCAATAATACATATATACATGACAATCCAATTTATTAATACAGTAGTTATTTATTATCAATGTTGATCAATTATAAAATTTAAATTCATTTACCCATTAAATCAAAAGCTACTAGCTATCACCACTCATTCAACTTATTTTTTTGGGATAATATCCTATATGGCTTTTTAACTATTGTATTTTGTTAGATTTGGTATCTAAACTAAAAAAGTTATTAAATAGATATCTAAACTTTAAAATCGTGTGTCAATTTGGTCCAAAAGAACTCTGTTAGTCGAGTTACTAACTTGGCTATTTTAGCCAATAAAAAACTACCATCTAGAAATAAAATGACATGTCATGCTTATACAGCCATATATTCTTAAAAAAAAATTGAATAAGTAAAAGAATTAATTCCCCTTTAAACCCCAAGTTCGAAAAATTCTCTGAAATTTTAACAAAATTGAAGTTTGTGAATTTGAAGTGACAAGCTTGTGAAATCGAAGCTGCTACCTTGTGAAATTGAAGTTGTTACCTTCACGAAATCAACAACAAATGAAGAAAGTAAGATGGCCAAAAGAAGATATGGATGTTCTTTTGAAGATTCACCGAAAAAAGTGGACATTCTGGGTAGTCACGATCAAGTTGTAGCTCAAGAACAAGAAATCATTTTAATTCAATTAATTGTTATTATAGAGTAATGGCTCTAATTCGAAGGTCGACATTATTGAAGAATTCAAGAAAAAAATTTTATAGGTGTAGAAAGTTCAAATAGGTATTCTTCACATTTGTTGATTAATGTAGAATTGGTCTTGTATTGATGGATAAAACTAAATTTGTTTCTGTTAACGTTTTGCTGAGTGTGAATTGTTATTTTTTCATTGGGTTGAAGATTAGCATTCGTTGGACTGTGAAAATGCAAATTAGAATGAGGAATTAAGATTTGAAAAGGATAAATTGCTGGCTAAGAATAAAAAGTTGGGGAAAGAAAATATTGCATTGAAAGAAAATTGCAATAATAATGAAGTTAATAGGCTTTTGAATGAGAAATCATACAACGATTTGGTACAAAGGATCGTAGACTAATATGGTATTACAAGATTGTGTTACTAGTGTCTTGGAATGTGTTTTTCATTTTTATTTTAAGGTTTGTTTTATGGCAGATTAAAAAATTTTAAGAATTTGTGGAACGATTGTATATTTTGTTCTAAACTATTGTAAGGATGAAGTAATAAAATAAGAGTAATTACTATTATGTATCCCAATTTAGATCCTTGTTATATGTTACTAAAAACTTAGTGGTTTTGATTATTTGAATGTAAAAAATCTGTTGAATTTTTTTTTTTATTTCTAACCATTTGCTTAAATTTTTTTGTCTTTTCATTATAAGTTAGTTTAGCTTCTGCTTGTTTGTAAATTATTTCCACATTGGCCATAATGTTTGTACCACATTATCTACGTTTTTGTTTTTAACTGCTAAAGTATATTATTTTGTCATTATCTTTATTATTTTCCATTTCTCAAAATTGAATGTTGCTACAATGGCAATTAGCCATCCTTCTTTGTGTTTTCTGCAACTATGATAATTGGTTTATATTGTTGTTATAAACAAGAGGAAACCAATTCATTCATTTAGATCTATCATTGATCCATAAACAAGATGAAATCAATACATTAATGATCCATCATGAAACAAGTTCATCAATTTCCTGCTCATTATACACAAAGAAATTGATGATGATTATCCCAAAAGAGTAGAAAAAACATCTATAAATGATCCATAGATAAGATGAAGCAAGATGAAACCAATTTAGTCATCATTGACTAAAAGCAATTCATACAACATCTAATAGTGTACCTTTATATACTATTTATTACACAAAAAAATTGATGATGAATATCCAAAAATAGCATAAAAACATTCATCATGGTCATAAATAAAAAGCACACAAAAGTTACAAAAAGGTATCATGTTAAAAAATAACATTCATATCAGTTCTTGAAAGTGTTGTTGGACTTGGTGCTTTTTAATTTTTTTTTCCAACCTGGCTTTTTTATGTACTTTGTATCTCATGTAGAAGAGTTAGAGTGTCATCAAGTGCTGTTGAAGTTTGTTTCTTTTTCTTGACACCTAACAAGTCATTTCTTAAATCTTGTATTAAAACCATTAAAGTATTACTAAACAATGCATCAAAGTCATATCTAGTAGCACATATAAATAGGTTACCTTGAAACAACTAGATTCTTCATCTTCATATCCAGTAACACTATCTAAATGGCCATCAATCTTCTTATTCAAAAAACCATCTATAGTTGATGTTGTTGTTGATTCATGCTTAGCATTGTTTGGAATAGAGATCAACATTTAATATTTTAGTTCAGGCTATTTGATAAAATATAAGTCATTAGCATATATGCATAAATCCTAAATAATCTAACAATAAAATAAAAATTACACAACAAAGGAACCTTAAATATAATATTTGCAGTCTTATCTTCTCGTTAACATATATACCTATTCATTACATGATTTTCCTCCCCCTCATTCCAGGTGGTACAAGTTTTTTTTTTTTAATTTTCAATTTTCTTTTTTGGATAGGTAACTTTAAGGGTCTTATGGCCTTTGGTACTACATTGGTTGCTTTAGTCTGTCTTGATGAGGTGGTTGCTATAGTTTATGTGAATGTTATGGGTATTGTAGTCTATATGAGTGGTGTGGCTGTTGCTCTAGTCATTCTGGGTGGTATAACTGCTGCTTTGGTCACTGTAGATGGTGTGACTACTGTTTTAGTCACTTTGCATGGTGTGACTGCTGCTTTGGTCACTTTTGGTGATGTGGCTATTATTCTGATCACTCTAGGTGGAATGGTAGTTGCTCTAGTATGGTGTTCTAATCTTGTAAGTTTATGAAGTATAGCATGGTGATTCTCTAGCCATAATCAGATAAAAATGGCTTCAGATGACATGAAAAAACCATATTTATAACCATGTGGGGAACCTTTTGTTACAAGATCATGCTTTTCGGACTAAAAAATACTGAGACAACCTATCAGAGGGCTATAGTAATACTTTTTCATGATATGATGCACAAGAAAATTGAGGTGTACGTGGATAGCATAATTACAAAATCTCGAAAAGGAGAAGATCATATAGTCAACCTCAAAAAATTGTTTGAGAGGTTGAAGAAGTTTCAACTCAAACTAAATCCAGCTAAAAATACATTCGAAGCTAGGTTAGAGAAGCTATTGGGATTTATAGTCAGTGAAAGAGGGATAGAAGGAGATCTAGATAAAATTTAGACTATCCAAAATTTATCCCCATCAAGCATATGAAAAGAGGTTTGACGTTTTTTAGGCAGATTAAACTATATATTCTGATTCATTTCTCAATTCACCTTTAAATGTGATCATATTTTCAAACTCTTTCGAAAAATAATCCTAATGAATGGAATGAAGAATGTCAAAAAGCTTTTGATAAAATCAAGCAATGCCTATCAAATCCTTCAATATTAGCACCATTTATCTTAAGAAAACCACTAATTCTATACATAGTGGTATATGAAAAATCAATGGGATACATGTTGGGGCAACAAGATGAATTTGATAAGGGGGAGAAGGCTATTTATTGCCTGAGTAAGAAGTTTATAGAATATGAGTCTAAGTACTCAATGCTCAAAAAGATGTGTTATGTTTTGGCTTAGACAGCTAAAAGACTCAGGCAGTACATACTTTACCATACAACCTAACTTATAGTTAAATTGGATCCCATTAAATACATCTTAGAGAAGCCATCATTGTCAAGTAGAATCGCAAGATAGCAAGTGATGCTCTCGAAATATGACATAGTATATGTGAGTCAAAAAGTAATTAAAAAAAGTGTCATTGCTAAATTTTTGGCAGAGAGGGCCACTGATGATTATGAACCTATAAAGCTTGATTTTTCAAATGAAGAATTAATAGCCATTTTAGAGTTAAAAGAAGATAATGTCGAGGAAAAGATATGGAAAATGTACTTTGATGGGGCTACCAACGTTTTAGGGCCTAAGATTAGAGCAATATTGATATTTCTAACAAGATGATACTACCTTGTAATTGTAAGATTAAACTTTAATTGCATCAATAATGTGGCTAAATACAAAGCTTGTATTATAGGATTGCATGAGACTTTGGATAAAAAAATTGAGACATTAAAGGTGTTTGAAGATTCAGCTTTGTTATCTATCAATTAAAAGGTGAATGAGAGACAAAATTTAAAACTCATCCCTTACCATAAATATATCTTGGAGTTGTGCAAACAATTTCAAAGTATCTAGTTTGAACATTTACCCCCTGAAGATAATCATATAGCAAACGCGTATGCAACTTTAGCTACGATGATGCAAATTGGCAACACAGTTGAAATTTAATCCATTAAAGTAGATGT